TACTTTTCTGGTCGTACAATATACTTTCTGGTCGTACAATATACTTTCTGGTCGTACAATACCACTTTTATGGAGACTTATTGCAGTGTAGCTTTCTTTCTCTATTGTAATACTGCAATTTTGTTTATTTTCCATTACCAAGAATTATTTTCAACGTTCAACAGTTCATTAATAACGGATAGTTCTTCCTTTCCCTGACCTATCAATCAAGTAAGTTTGGGAGTGTTTTTGAATGTCAGATATTGTTTCTTATAATTTTGTTACGTTTGGATTTGTTTCTTTATGGCGACGATTAGGGGTTTTTATGCAAAGCAAGAAAAAAGTCGCGGTTGCCTTTACTATCCGCAGTAATAACTTTTCTAAGATATAAAAATTAAGATTAGTCGTTAGCTTAATTAAGATTATAGAGAGTATCATCAATTTAATGATGCTTTTAAAAAACACTAAAAATAAAATATGTGAAGATTCAAAACTTTAATTATCAATCATAAAGTTGTACAAATTAATGCTGAATATGAATTAATAACGCTAATTCTGTTGCTAATGGATATGTTGTATTTATAAAGACAAAAATAAACACTGATTGATTAAAAATCGAGAGAATAACTCAGAGAGGTACTTAAAAAAGAAGTGTTAAATTTGAATATTGATACGCAGATGCTTTTGTTGCTTGTTTACTTTTATTCTTCTTCTGCTTATGAAATTCTTTACTTTGATAGATTTGGAGATTTTTTAACAGAAAATGACAGGGTGTCCTGAATTATCTGATGGTTTAACAGAAAATTCGCGACATGTGATTTCAAATGCATAATTTTGTCGTTCTGCTTTTTCAGTACATTGATTTGCTGATTTTGTCTACAAAAACGTAAGAAGTCCTGGAATTAACACAGGCCAACCATCAATTACCAATATAATATATATAAATAAGAAGCAGTGCCCTGACATGGTTTTCAGTTTCTATAAATATCTTGGAGCGTCTAATTGAACCTTGCAATCAAATATCGCCCAACGCTTTGTTCATTGTTCCTTCCAGTTCATTAGCACTTACTAATTCTGCTTCCCGCGCGAAGTGACGTGTAGTGAAACCACTCAATATTTAAGGTTCTTTTATTAGTTACTCTTTATTTAGATTTTGGCTTATGTTCTATTAGACTTATTACACTACTGCTTATATTCTGACCTAACTGATGTATGGTCAGTATCTTATATAGGAAATAATTTAAAGCTAACTTAAGCAATTAATATAACTAAAGTAGGTTATCGCTAGAATGGTAACGTAAGCATATAATATAAAAATGGGTTATTACTAGAATTACAGCTTAAGCAAATAATATTATATTAATAGATTATTACTAGAATTACACTATCTTAACTAGGTTAGGTGTAAAATGTAAACTTAGCAATAACTTGTAAATTACTGTAGAATGCGACAGATCGATAATACTACAGACGGTCAAAATCGTTTTGAAGAAAAATAAGAAAGCATTATTCGTTTTTTATACCCTACACCACAATATATTACAAGGATATGTTAAGTCTATGCCTAGAAAGACTTAAGATAGACACACCTTGTAATTTACCGATCGGTTCAGGATCACTTTCTGAATCGATTTAAGCTTGTCTTTTCGTCTATCTGTTTTGCTTTCTCGCATCCAAGGCAATTTTTGAGACATTTAGAAGAAATCTGATACATTGACATGTCTTGGTCTTGGCTATTGAGAACGACTCGGGTCGGACCATCTTTTCGATCAGATCCTATATAGTAGCTTACATTCAAAAGTTATTTATTGAACTGTGTTAAGCAAAGTAATGTAGGATATTTAACGGTGGCCCCTGGCCCCCGACCCAAGTCTTTTCACTTATTTCGAGATTGCTTCAGTTCCTTGTCTATTGCCTGTCTGCATGTAGGCCGCACTTTAATCGATCCAGAAATGTACACGCTAAGTTTCAGTTAATACTTTCATTTTTACGGCGGAAGCACTTCAGCAAAGGCATGAGCCAACTTAAGTCTTTAAAATAAAAACAACCGGTGCTAAAGGCCGGTAGTTCTAGTGTTAATTAAATTCTTTTTCTTATATATGTGTCTTCAGATGCTGTTGATATGCTTGGTGTGAATTTGTTTTAAATATTTCGTCAGCTTTTGAAGCGTTGTTGGCGGTTGACAACATTTTTGAGCACAGTTGACATTCATACATAAATTTGTCTGGATGTTTGCCAGTCTTTAAGATGTGTTTGCGTAGATTTTCCAAAGAACTGCTACGGAATTGACAATATGGACATGGATATGGTTTATCACCGGTGTGAGACCGAATATGACGCTCGAGATGATTTTTTGTTTTTGCCTTAAAATGGCATTTGGGGCAGGCATACAGTTTGTTTTCGCTATTAGCCGGAGTGTGTGACAGTAAATGCCTGAAATAAGAGGAAGAGAAAATTTTAATTATATTTCAATTTGCTCTGAGAGGTGAAATAGTCTAGAAAGTCGGAAATATTAAAATTGAAAGCTCAAATGTTTTTTTTTTTGTCATACACAATACATAGGATAATAAAGCAAAGTGATGGTAATCGGGCAATTGCCGTCTCTCTTTCTCTCTAATCATTTTTATTGTGCATGTAGGCTGAAATGCAAATCTTAGCTAAATCTCAACACGGAAAGAATCTAATTGTAGGGACACGAATCGTACGTAGCATGAACTATTCTAATCTCTAATTCATTTATGAAATTTCTAGCAATAGTAACCACAACCCCAATCTAGAGCAAGTAGATGCTGCGAAAAAGTGTTCGAAGTATAGAAAAAATCGGGAGTTTTGCTCCGATTAACAACAGACACTGATGCATTTTCAATGTTCGCAAAAAGATTTCATTGCTAACGTGTGCATTTATTTGGTTTACAATCGTCCATTGGCCGAATGTTGAGAACACATTAAAGCAAGTTTTCATATATACACATAGTCAGGTTGAGAAGAAGGAGAGGGAAATTTGTCGATCTGTTCAATCGGAAGGAACAATATCTGCTAACAATAGCGAGGAGGACAGGACATTCCAGGTGAGAACTGCAAACATTTTTTGAGCGAGTTTTGTTATTAAAAACTCGAAATATCGCTACTTTCGGCATTTTATGCCCATTGTTTGACACAATTGCATCAGTTATTCTTGGAACCAGTCCTTGGTGATGGTTTCATTTCGCTGGAAAAAGTCGTAAAATATCCTGCCATAGCGTTACGTCACATGGAGTCTGAATGGTTATTCAGCTTTATTGTCCTTTGTGTTAATGGTTCGCCTGCTCTGCATCATAACTATTTGAGGTTTGGGTATCGTAACGCATGTGCTGTTTATTACTTATAAGCGGCACTATCGCTCTCCAGAAGCCGACAGGGTAAAGTTTTCCCACAAATGTCTTTGTTTTAACGTAAAAGTGCATCTATTCAAAACTTCAGGAAAGCGTCTTGCTTGCGCTTTAGTGCGACATTTTATACAATTGCGTACAAGTTTATGTTGTATTCATCTCAAATACAAAATTTCTGTGCTGCCTACAAAGGGAACGCAAATAGGTGAACAGAGGAGAGCACGACTTGAAGTCAACACTAGCATGGTGGGAATGTATGCTTTTTGTTTCAGATGGTGTGGACTTAGTCAAATTATGTCTTTAAAACAGAGAACGCTTCCGCGAAAAATATTTTAAATGCAACAACATCAAAAATAATATCGTGTATCGTTTTAAATCTTTGCATTTCATTTTGTTCGATGTCAGAGTTTTTTTGTGGCTGTTGTGCCGCTTCCTCGCTAGTTTCGCCTCTATTTATATGGTCTAAAATTTCTTTTGTCAATTCCTTGTATCAACTCCTAGTTACATAGTGGAGCGGGGTTTGGTTACCAGTCATGTCATGGCGTTTGTGATTTTTTATTGAATTTGGTACGCTGGAGCAATGGACACAATAAAAACCTTCTATGTCACTTTCGCTACAAAGAAACGTAATTAAGCCACAAAAGTCACAAAATCAAATTCTTGTGAATGCCTTATAAGGTGCGACGTGTCTGAATACGATATTAAAGTGTGCATTTGCCCAAATGTCAAAAAGACAATGATCAATGCGACGTTGCGGCGATATGATCTCTGATAGATGTCTAAGAAACTTTAAAGTTTGAGTTTACGCCGCGATAGTCGCTTATGTTCATAATTTTGTTTTGTCAAAATTCCCGTTTGATTGCAAATGTGGTTTCGAATGTAAATAGAAAATAACAGTTCGTAAGAATATTCGAATCTATCATTGAATTTTGCGGCGATCGCTTGCAAACCGCAGCTAAGGTAGAGAAAGAGCAGAGGTAATATTACGAAGTCAGAGAACACTAGCAGGTGTATAACTTTCCGTATACCCTCTTTTTGTAATGGTATGTGGGAGTGAAAATAAACAGACGTAGTCTGCTGACATAATCGCTCTGACTATCACTCGTTTCGAACAATGGTGCGCGTTCTGGTTGACCAGCACTTTCGTCCTTATGAAGGTGCCAAAAATTGAATCGCCTCAAAATATGGGCAGGATGCTTACGCTGTTCGAAAGGTAGGAAAAAAACGTCACCAAAAAAAAAAGTGAAAGAAAATAGCAAATTTTTTGTTGTTTTTCCATTACATTTAAATGTGCTCTTAAGAAGTTTCCTATAGCATGTATATTCACATATATTTTGGGTCGGTTAGCGTAAAATTTGCAGTCTTGCTTAACAGAGGGGCGGTTTACGATGCTCGTCATTTACATGGCGTATGAATGTTTAAGGCCACGTCTCCTATTTAATTAACGCGGTGATGGTTAGAAAGTAAAAAGGAAATAGGGAGGTGATGCCGCATCCTAGTGGATGTGGGTCCAATCTATATGTGCTATGACTTCATCGACTGAGCACTTATTATCGCTGCCGCCAAAGTACACTTTACCACACTGAGACTTGAACTCGTAAACACTGACTTGGTAATCGCGATTCTTATCTATTTGGCTACTCATAGCGATTTGCTCGAAACAGAACGTAAAATCCTAACTCAAAGAAAAAAATCCTAATTTCAGAAATTATAAAATGTTGGAAAAATAAAATCAAATAATTGCTTTCGATGATCTGGTACCTGTTGGTGCCATAAAATATGAAGACGGATAAACGGGTAAAGGATTAACAAAAAAAATTTCCAGGAAAAACAAAAGCTAGAAGTATGGGATGTAAAGTACAACCGAGAACTATTTAAAAAGTATTCTGCAAACATAATATTTAAGGCGTCTTTAGACAGCGTATAGATAGGCAAATTTAAGGTAGCTATTGAGAAAGAAGGAAATGAGTAAATTTAAAGAAACAACGATACTATTAAAACTAATTTTTATACCCATCACCGAAGGATGCGGGGTATATTCATTTTGTGAAAACGTTTGCGACGCCCAGAAGGAAGCATCAGAGACCCCACAAAATATACATGCTCTTGATCAGCATCAAATTCCAAATCGATTTAAGCATGCTCGTCTGACAGTCTGCGTAATGTCCGCAGTAAACAGTCTCCTAGCCGTAAAAAAACGCCCACAGCACGTAAACTAATAACACCTCCGTTTTCCAAAAGGAATAAAAAACCCGTTTTTTTGCTCGTTACTCATAAACTATAGCAGATAATTATAAAAGAATTTGAACGCATATTCTACGGGCTTAGCACTCGTACAAAAATGGAAAAAATTGACCCCGTCTACCCAATGTTATACTGTATCAAATTTTAATTTTTTTTTTCAATGCCCTTATAATGTGAAAAAGCAACTTCTAACAAACTCATGAAGGAGATAAATTCTTGGCAAGTTTCAAATTCGGAATGCACCTAAACATGTCCTTCTGTTCCTCTGTCCATTTGTCTGTCTGCGCAAAGTGATCTAAACTTCTCGCAGGGCACGTCTATAACGCCTACACGTCTATGTGATAAAAACTTTTATTTTCAGTAGAAAAAATCAGCTGCGCCCACTTCATATTAAAGCGCCTGAAAGCCTCTTTTCTTTCACTGTTTTTGTCTTTTTTAGGATAACGGTGACGGATATAAAAGACGTGGTCACGACCGTACATGATATTCTTATTTGTTGTTTTTCCTATCGTACGATAGTCTGTAAACCGTACGTGCTTCCGTTGCTGAAAGACTGACAGTTGCAAAAATTAAAACAGATAGCGGAAATATAGTATTTGAACCTTTAATTGATGAGTAGAGTGACCATCGCGTTTATAAAACTATGGACATAATAGGCAGTAAGTTTCAATTCAAAGCAATCAGTATTGGAACTTGAATGAATGGGATATATAAGAAACTCTCACGGGCCTGTCTTCCTGAAGTGGTAACGATTTCACACGTCGATCTACAATTCAGAGTGTTAAACGCTACATGACTAATCCAAAAGAAGAAGACCGGCCTTCAAGAGAACTCAGAAAAAGCATGCTTATGAAGTTTGTAAGGATGATAGTTTTAAAGGCGTATTAAAACTTCTTTAACCTACCGTTTCATGTGTAACTCACTCTTTCCTACATAGCTACAATCTTCATGCTCGCAATGAAAACTTTCCGTTGAATGCGAAGCCGAGTGAATTTTTAACAGGGATTTGGTGGTGGTAGCATAAGCGCAATTCTCCAGAGGGCAAGCAAACGGCCGCTGCGATGAGACAATATGTTGAGACAATGAGTGCATTTTTAACGAATATCTGGAATGGAAAAAAAGTAAAAATATGCATAAAAATCAAATCACATATAAGGAAATAAATATAACGCAGCATCACGTTATGTTTACTGGACAATTTGAGAATTTTTTTCTTTTATTATTCGAAACTAGCAGACAAAAAGTTGTATTTTATTATTAGTAACACAAAATTTAATTTGAATTTTTTTAATTAGATTAAAATTTTCCTTTTTCCTTTGTACACGAAAACTGAAGCACTCAAGTGATGCTTTCAGGTCACGTTTCACACTGAAGACGTGATGCAAAATTAAATTTTATTGTATTGCTGTCTGATTGTCTTTACAAATTGACCAAAAAAGGAAAGTCCTGTGAAATTTGATGTGAATGCAATACGTCACGTTACTAAAGAGTGAAAAGGATGGAAAAACTTTTTTATTTGTTTCATCTAGAAATTTTGCATACGTCTACTACTAATTAAAGTCAAAAACAAGCCTTTTTTTGATTAGAAAAAAAAGTGGCGATAAAATGAAAAAATTTTACAATATATGATGTGTCTGAAATCGAAAATGATGTACAGCTAAGCAGATGATTTCCTTTTTATCAGACCCTGGCTCAAATTAGAGTAAAATGCGCCATGCGACTCCAAGTTGATTGCACATTTCCGCGATTGCCGTCATGTGTGCAATGGTAAATTATCGCAGAAGGCATGTATAAGATATCCATTCGTCGAAAAAGTTGAACAACTCAACACCAATCAATGAAGTTGACCCATGTACTTCCAGTAGACACCTTTCAAGATTTTCTCAAAGCAATATTTGTATCTTTTTTTTATATCCACCGCCCAACTAGGAGAATTCATTTGGCAAAACGTTTGCAACATCCGCAAGCAAGCTATAGCGATACCCTATACTATTTATATATTCGATTGGTACGAAATTCAATTAAGAATGTCTGTCGACACGTCCGTCCTTCGGCGTAACAACTGTAGTAAACATTGAATCAAATTAAGATATCGGGTTCAAATCTAACAAAAACTTTTGGAAGTTTTGCGCGTGCAGGTTGGTATTGGAAGCGGGCCAACTCGGTTAGGCGATACGCCTTATCACATAAATCAAAATCATTTTCAAAAACAAAGTCCTCAGGTTTTTTGCTCACTACTTATAAACTAAAGCAGATAGAAAAATTTCCCCATATATTCTATCGTTGTCCTCACAGTAACTGCACAAACACAAAAAAGAATCGGTCACTCCCATTCAATGTTGTGTAGTAGGCGCTAAAAAAAATTCGACCACCGCCGAATGTAGCTTGCTTACTTGTTGATATAGAATCCGAGCAATTTTTTTAATATTCTCACAAGCTTGTGTAGCTTGTGTACATATATCTATGTCTTGTCCGTATACATAGGTTGGAGAAAAAACTTCGTGGTGTTCTCGTAGCAGTAATATTTATGTGTATTTTAAAATAATGTTCGTATGAAATAATCGTTTAGTGTATGAATATAACGCGTAAAACTTTAGAGGTAACTAAGAGGCCTTACTACTCAATCAAATAAAGGTCAATAACACAGGGTTTAGCTAAGAAATTGAGAAAGAAATATAGAATAAAGAGTAAAAAAATTTCATTTGGACGTGACTGCGTGTTTTATGGACCTCAACGTTGTCTTCTGATCAATAATATGTGGACGTTTTGCGGCCTCCGAAGCTCCTTTCTGGGTCTTTCAAGCATTGTGATAAAACAACGAAATTTCCATATTCCATAATATTGACTAGGCCGAGGCCGTTTATTTAAATTTTTGTATAGGTGCTGCAGGAACGCTCCCAGAATATAAATGCCAATTTCTATCGTTGTATATATTGCAGTTTGTAAGTAACGAGTAAAGAACTAAAATTGTTTAATTTCGAAAACCAAGGTGGCCTCGGGTTTTCTTGTGCAATGGTCGTGTCTGTGGTTAGACTGGTTTCACTCAATTTCATTACTAACCTACGTGCAAGAACTTCCAACTTTTGTGCCAAATTTGTGGGCAATTGACGCATTTTGTTAACCAGTGCGTTGTTTACCACAGACTTTACACAGACAGACAGACAGACAGACAGACGGACACGGTTCAATCGGTTTAGCATATGATGCTGATCAGCAATGTATCCACTCTATGAGATTTGTCTTGCAAATGTTTTGATATACCGCTCTTACTACCCGTACAAAAATATATAAAAAAAGTAAGAAAAGTATGTTCGGTCGTGACCGAATCTTTTATACCCATCGCCGTGATATCAAAAAAAAGGAAAGGACTTAAGTTTTCAAACTCTATAATATTCAGTGGGAGCGGTTGATTTCTTCCATTTTCAGAATAAAAGCGAAAAAAAATACGGTGTATACGGTGTATGTGCTGTACTTTATGAGTACCGAGCAAAAAAAACGGAAAGCAAAAGTGTTCACTTTTTGCTATATACAGGTGTTTGAGTGTGTTGTAGGTGTATTTGTGTAGAGTTTGGGTCCTTTTCAAATTCCATTGCAAGTTTGTAGGCGATATCATTTTTGCGGACAGGAGAACCGCAGGTACTACGCAGTTTGGCAGATAGACAGATGGGCGGACAAAACTTAAAACTTGTCAACAATGTGTATACTTTTTGGAGTTTTTGATGCTTGTTTCTGCGCGTTATTAGGAAATATTTTATTGCAATACGATGTAAGTGCAGTACATATAGTTCGCGTATAGGGGAAATCCAACTTAGCTGTGCATCATTTCAGGCGCATGATAATAATCAACCATGAATCACTTATTAACAACCAAAATGCGGTCGAGTTCACACCGGTATACCTAGTTAGGGGGATTAGACTGATGGCATTGATCTAGAAAGGCTTTGATTAGTATTTCGTTTCAAAATTCGGAAAATTCTCAAGTATTCCTTCGTTCGTGTAAAGCTATTACCATAGTGCGACCTTCCACCTGTTTCTGGTTTATATATAAAATAATCTGTTGTTTTTTATCGTTATGTAAGAGAAGCGAAAAACGAAGAAACACAATAAAAGGATAATATTTTTAACACGGACGTTAACACTGCTGCACAGTAAAGCCGTTGTATTAGTAGCTCTGCTATAAGTTAAAAGTTAAGCGCTTCAACAACAGCACCAACAAGAATAGCAGAAATAGTAAGCGCATCGTGGCGGGGAAAAATCTTGGCTTTCATAGAAGTCACGAAGGGGATTGCAACACAATACGATAAAGTGACGGTGACGAACAAGTTGCAATACTTCGGGACATTTTAACAACGGAATGAAAATATCATTATGTTAGCATAATCTGCGCAAATGCATATATATAAACATACGTACTTATGGTTTACCATATATAAGCGAGCAATGTCTCGTTTCTTTTATTGGCTATACATACAGTTTAGCATTTATTAGCTATACATGTACACTTATTCGATAGCATACATCAATGACATCAAGTTTTATTTTTTTCGCTAGACTTGTATAATGTTTTCGATGTTGTGGTACTTGTGTACATAGGCAAAAGGAAAACTTAGTGGTGTTTTCCAATTTTGAATATTTTAAAGGAATTGAATTATATGCCAATTTTTCGGTAAAACAGTTATGCTACCACGGTAGAGTTGCTGCGGCGTGTAGGAAAAAACTGAATCAAAACATATTCACAGTCCTCTTGTGGAATCAGATTCATACCACTAAAATCATTTTGATAGCCGAACGAGGCAATGCATCGAAATTTCTTAGCTAAGATCTGATAATTTTTATCGAAAAAGTGTGTGTGGTCTGGCACAAACGATGCCTTTCTTATTGATCAATGCCGGATGCTTTGTCTCACTTGCGTCGTTTAATGATATTATTTGTTGACAATGAAGAGTGGTTCAATCGCTTGATCCGACTAATATTAGCAATGTTGCAAGGGTCTGAAGCCATATGTAGGTAAAAACTCTACGATGCTTTTTTTCTTTTTACCTGAAATACACACATGCAGACGTTCTTATACACATGTGCTCGCTTACAAGTAAATTAAATAAATGTTTATTCATTTTCTTATCAAGAATATGCATATATATACATACACAAATAAAGTTTTTCTAAAACTAGAAATTCAATCGAATGAGAAGTCTTTAAATAGCGCCGGATTTTAAACGCCGTCTATTCATGTTTGCAAACCCAAGATGAGTTTTTTTAGTTTCTATCGTCACTACTTACAAAACTCCATATGGGCCCATCAACCAAATTATCGGCAATAGAAGGAAACTTAGGATAACTTAGGAAACAATAAGATGCTCCCTTTTTTAAGACATACTTCCAAAAAAGATGAACATCTTTTTCCGATGAACTTAAAATAAAGTGGCGAAAGCATCCTAGTGAATCATGGCGTACAAGACGACCTTTAGAAATAAGGCGTCATGCCTGACGTGGTCGAAAAACTGGTGCGACCCGAACCGTTTTCAATAGCGTTTATCCTTTTGCCAAGAGGTGCCGGTGTACCCTATTTTGTCAAAATATCTACGAAACTGCGAACAAGAATACACGGCGAGCAGAGGAAGTGACGAACAGACGGTCACACAAGCCCGGCTTATAATCAGAGACAGGTCTGTCCTAACTTCTTTTGGACGTTGTACACATCCGCGCATAGTTAGGGTAGCTTTGTACCACAAGTGGTTTAGTGTATATATACATTTTGGAAGTTGTTATTTTTGTCCGCAATGAAAGGATAATCTGCTTAAAATATTTCATTGTTAGTACAGGTCTCGATGGTTGGCTTAAAGATATCAGAAGTATACTTCTCCGAAGCCATGTAAGACTGACTAATACTCAACTACCACTACTATCGCTTTAAAAATTATATACATTAGGCGTTTTTATAGAAAAAGTCTCCGGACTTGCTGTTGCAATAAAAAACATAATCTATTTATGAAAATCGTCCTTTTCAGGTAGCAGCTATTGCTGGAAATATATATAAATGAACTTCAGCGATCGACTCAATCGAACCTTTCAGGATATTAATTTTATTTCCGCAAACCTAAAGAT